ATGAAAGGCTGGTTAAATACTTGAACATCAATGTAACCACCAGATGAACTGGTTAAAGAGGAAAGTCAATTGATACAGAAAAATCATTTGACAAAATTCAATACCCATTCATGATAAAAATTATCAGAAAACTAGGAATTGAGGGGGAACTTCTCCAACTTGATTAAGAACATCTACAAAATGCCTGTAGCTAACATCATACTTAATCATGAAAGACAGAACGCATTCCTTCTATGATCTGGATAAAGTACATGATGTTGGTTCTCACTTCTATTCAACATAGTGCTAAAAATCCCAGTCAGTGCAATAAGGCAAAGGAAGTAAACGGCATACAGATGGGGAAGAAAGAAAATTGTCTCTAGTTTCAGATGACATAATGATCTACATGGAAAATCCCAAGGAATAAATATATATACACACACATACATATATACACACACACACACACACACACACATATATATATAAAAATCTCCTAGAACAAATTAGTGAGTTCCACAAGGTGACAGTATAAAAGATAAACATAAAAAAAATGGTATTCCTTTATACTAGTGATGTAAAAAGGAAGACCAACATTAAAATGTAGTATCATTTATAACCACTGAGAAAAATAAAATACAAGATGTAAATCTAACAAAACACGGCGAGGTCTCGTATGCTGAACACCTCACAACGCTGATGAAAGGAATCAAAGAAAATCTGAACAAATGAAGAGGCATACCACATTCATGCAAACAGAAAGGAAAAGGGACTAGAATAGCCCACTTTTCTTTAAAACAATAAAGTAAGAAGAATCACTGTACCTGATTTTAAGACTTATACAACTACATTAATCAAGACAGTATGGTGTTGGCAGACAGATAAATAGATAAATGGAACAGAATAGAGAACCCAGAAATAGCCTCACATAAGTATGGCCAACTGACTTTTGACAAAAGTTCAAAAGCAATTCAATGAAGGAGGGATAGCTTCTCAGCAAATGGTGCTGGAGCAACCAGATATCCATAAGCAAAAATAAAATCTAAAAAATAAGTGAAACTTACACCTTATAAAAAATGAACTCAAAATGGATCATAGATTTAACTATTAAATGTAAAATTCTAGGATTCTTAGAGTAAAATGTATGTTAAAATTTGGGGACTTGGGCTATGTAAAAGGTTTTTAGATATGACACCAAAAACATGAATCATAAAAGAGGAAAATCAATAAATTGGTTATCTTCAAAACTGAAAACATCCGTTCTATGAAAAGACAAGCTACAGACTGGGAGAAAATAATTGCAAACCACATCTCTAACAAAAGAATCATTTCTAGAATATACCATGAACTCTAGAAAATGAACAGCACAAAAAAAATCAAATAATCCAATTAGAAAGCAGACAAAAGACATGAAGAGACAGTTCACCAAAAGGCAAGAGAACATATGGATAAAAAGTGAGCACATGAAAAGATGTTCAACATCCTTAGCCATCAGTGAAATGCAAAAATGAAATCACAGTGAAGTATCACAACATACTTATTAGAATAGCTATATTTAAGAGAGAGAGAGAGAGAGAGAACACCAAATGCTGGTGAGGATGCAGAGAAACTGGATCCTTCATACACTGGGAATGCGGATATAAAATAGACACTCTGGAAAACAGTTCGGCAGTTTATGAAAAAAAAATCTAAACATGACCCATCAATCACACATCTGGGCATCTATCCTAGAAGAGTTAACATGTATGTGCACACAAAATTTCGCACAGCAATGTTTATGGCACCTTTATTTGTGAAAGTTAAATACTGGAAACAGAAATGTCCTTCAACAAGCAAATGGCTGAACAAACAGTGGTCTATCCATACCATGAAGGACTATTTAGCAATGAAAGGAAGGCCCTATTAACACACACAACTTGGATGGATCCCAAGGCCATAATGCTGGATGAAGAAAAAGCCAACTTCAGAGATCACATACTGTATGATTCCATTGAGAGGGATGATTCCAGGTAAAAACCTCCATACTCAAGGGGAAACTTTGTCCTGAAGCTGGAGATAATGAGGAAACCATGCTCAGAGTCCTTGCCAGTGCAAATCTCTGCTGCACCCCGTAGCTTTTTCATTACCCATTCAGGCTACAACCCCAGACAAGCAGACCTTGACTTGAGTCTCCTGCCGGTCACTGGTTATTTACCTGAGGTTGGGCTTGTTCAGAAGACCAATGGTCAGTGGAAGACCACTGCTCCCTGGTCTGATAGTTCTGAGAGTTCACGTGAAAGGTTGATGGACACAGATCCACCTTGAGGTCAGGGCTGATGGACACATGTCCAGCCTTAAGTCGGGGCGGATGGACATGGGTCCACCCTCCAGTTGGGGCAGATCCACACAAGTTCACCCTCAGGTCAGGGACTGAAGGACACAGATTCACCCTCAAGTCAGGGACTGAGGGACACAGATCCTCCCTGTGGTCAGGGCCGATGGACAAAGGTCCACCCTCAGGTGAGAAAATGATGGACACAGGTCTACCTTGAGATCAGGGAATGATGGACACAGTTCCACCCTCAGGTCAGGGAACGATGGATCCAGGTCCACTCTCAGGTCAGGGGCTGATGGACACAAGTTCTCCCTCAGATCAGGGACTGAGGAACACAGATCCTCTCTGTGGTTGGGGCTGATGAACACAGGTCCATTTTCCGATTGGTGCTAATGGACATGGATCCTCCCTCAAGTCAGGAGTGATAGACACTGGTCCACCCTCAGGTCAGTCACACCTCCAAACCCTGTCACCACCCAGCATCTTCTGCCTGTCAGCTCACCTGCTATGTCCTGGGTTACTGACTGTCCTCCACAGTCATAAATCACAGTCCTGGGCTGTGACGGGCAGCCACGAGAATGGCCAACACATTGAGAGGAAAGTGGCTGTCCTTCAGTGAGTAGATGATACACACATCTCCGAAAGTGTACCAGGAGGAGCCCAAGGCCACAGGGATGGACAGGAAGGTGAGGCTCCTACAATGTCAAAAGAATCCTGGAGGATGCAGTGATATCACTGACCATATTAACAGTCAGAGGGGGAACCACCAGGTTAAGCATCTTAATACCTACTCAAGAGTATTTTCTAAAATTCAGCATCCACTTATCAAAAGAAAAAATCCAAAAGCTAACTCAAAGGGATCACTTTCTTGAAATAATTAGCCATATACTATTACTTCTAACCCAAAGCATCACAATTAGTAGTAAAACCCTATTTAACTATTATAGCCAGAACAAAAAAGAATGCCCACCCTATTGCAATCATTTAACATAGGATGAAAAAGAGAAAGCAAAATTATCACGATTTGAAACACATACTATTGTAGATCAAAAAAAATGCAACAGAATTAAGTAAAACATTATTGCAATCAGTTTCAAAAAGTGTGGACCAAATAAGCTGAAATTTTATCTTCATTAAATTCAGATAGATATGGTAGAAGTTATATTTTTAAAAAATTCCTAGCCATGTTTAAACAAAATGCCCAGGAGATGGGGTAGGAGAGCCCCTAGGTGGATCAGAAACAGAGAAGAAAAGACATTGAGCATTGAGCATACCGGTGATTTTTTAAACCATGCTAAAACACAGAGCTGACTCCATTGAGGAAACCAAGGCTCAGGTGCATCGGTGGTGGGAGCGAGCACAGCAAGTGCTTGAGAGAGAAGAATTTGGCAACAGCTATCCGAAATTAAAACAGACACACTATTTAATCCAGCAATTCCAGTACAAAGAAATACCCCAGGCTATCCTCGTAAGATTTACTAAGACATTTGTGAAAAAAGGATGTTCACGACACCAGTAGACATGAGACCAACTTCTAGAAATAAAAGTCCCCACCAACCAACAAGCCAGTGTTGAAGTCACATCCCTCCCTCCCTCCCTCCTGCAGCGGGAGGCCATCCAGCCACTTAGAAATGACTCCAAGATTTCTAAAGTCTGTCACCTAGTGAAAAGAGCATGGACGACAAAATGATAAACTATTTGCATTAATCTCTGGTGCACACCCAAATTGTTTTTCTAGAAGGAAATACAAAATGGCAAACATCTTGGAGGACTTAATTTTTGTATCATGTGTGGATGTTGCTTTTATTTTTTAATTCAAGCTTAAATATTTAAGAAGAGAAGAACAAAAGCAGCACTCAATAAAAAGAGAGAGAGACCGAACTGGGAGGCTTCTGGGTGTACCCATTAGAGGAGACAACTGTGCTGCCAGGTATTAGGAAACTGGAATAGAGGCGTGTCCCACGCTGACTCAGGCAGGCAATGTCATGTTCCCCACCTGGTGGGCCCAGTGGGCGATGAGCATAACAACCCTAACAGGCTGCACACACTCAGGCAGACACTTGACTCTCTGGATTCCACTACACAAAACCATCAGAGAAGTAAACGTGCTTTCATGACCAAAAGCTCTGTCCACGATTTGCTTCATTTAAACATAACAGAAATAACCTAAATATCAATGGAGGTTAAGTAAATGGTTTCTCTTTAGGCTGGAAATCTATATAATGATTTTTAAAAATCATATTTTTTGCCACCATAAAAAAGAATGAGTTCATGTCCTTTGCAGGGGCATGGATGAAGCTGGAAACCATCATCCTCAGCAAACTAACACAAGAACAGAAAACCAAATACGGCATGTTCTCACTCACAAGTGGAAGTTGAACAATGAGCATACATGGACACAGGGAGGGGAACATCACACACGGAGGCCTGTCAGGGGTTGGGGGGAAAGGCAAGGGAGAGCATTAGGACAAATACCTAATGCATACGGGGCTTAAAACCTAGATGATGGGTTGATGGGTGCAGCAAACCACCATGGCACCTGTATACCTACGTAACAAACCTGCACGTTCTGCACCTGTATCCCAGAACTTATAAAGTAAAATAAGGACCAAAAAATCATATTTATGATAAGTATTTAATACTATAAGAAAATGTTTATGATATATTTGCAAGCAAAAAAAAAAAAAAACAATGAGCAACCAAACTGCCTGTGTATCATCAAGTTTATTTAAAAAATACAGACACACACACTTAAGAAACTGGAAGGAACAAAACGTTCATGATAGCTTTTTTGTGGGATGGTAGGATTGCAGATAAATGCTTTTCATTTTCTCCCTTGTGCATTTTTGTGTTTCTCCATATTTTCCATAATCAATTATGTTTACGATCAGGAGAAACTGCTGAGAGAAGAAACAGCTGGCGTGAATGCCCTGGGGGGTAAGGGCTGATGGCAGGAGCTCATCCTTGCAGCACTGGTGACAGTGGCTGTTGGGCAGGACCTGAAGCTACGTGCACAGTTGCCCCCGTTGCAGGGTGGGAGACCAAATCCCCAGGAGGACGTCCAGGCCACTCAGTGAGGGATGGATCTGAACCTACAGGAGAGGCATCAGATGTGTGGGGTCTGACACATTTTCTCTGCTTGACCAAATTTCAGCCAGGCTCTGAAACTTCTCCTAGGCCCAATGGTGCACTTCCTTATAAAATCCAGTTTTAGCAGGAACACTCCACCCTCAATATCCTATCCCCCTCCTATCTGATCAGGTTCCTCACCCTCCACCAGCCCCCAGGGGAGGCCTGATCACCTAGACCTGTCTTCAGCAAGAATCGTGCTAGGTCAGTTGGCCAGAATCCCCTTACCCCTATGTTTCCTCTCAGAAATTTTCCATCCACTGACCCTCACTACCCTCCTTCTGTTAGGAGCTGAGTCCAGCCTCTCCCCTCAATAGCACAACTCCACTGCCACTGCTGGGGTTCCTATGCCATAGCTATGGTCCCACATACAGACTGTCTTACTGTGTTAGCAAGTGTCATTGAATAATTTTTTTTTTTTTTTGAGACGGAGTCTCACTATGCCACCCAGGCTGGAGTACAGTGGCACGATCTTGGCTCACTGCAACTTCCACCTCCTGGGTTCAAGCGATTCTCCTGCCTCAGCTTTCGGAGTAGCTGGGACTACAGGCACGCGCTACCACACCTGGCTAATTTTTGTATTTCTAGTAGAGATGGGGTTTCACCACGTTAGTCGGGCTGGTCTCGAACTCCTGACCTTGTGATCCACCCACCTTAGCCTCCCAAAGTGCTGGGATTACAGGCATGAGCCACCAAGCCCACCAAGCTGGTCAAATAATTTTCTTTAACAGCTCCTGCCCTCCTGGCAGAGACTGGGCCCTTGTGCAACACCGCCACCTAGAGGCCAGTCCCCGCTGCCCTGGCTCCCATACCCCTGAATGAGCACAGCTGGGGAACAGGGACCCTGAGGAAGAGGACAGTCTGAGGTGGTACCAGTCTGTCCAAGAGCCTTAGCAAGCCGTTCGCCTGAACTCCGGACACGTGTGCTCACAAAAGCAGCGCCAAGGTCACAGATGGCACAACGCACTCTCCCACCTGATGCCTAACTCTAGCTCCAAGGCTGGGCTCCATCAAACGCTGAGGCTGGCAGGCCTGGGCTGAGTCTGGAGGTGCGGGTAGCAGAGGGGGAGAGAAGAGAGTGGTAACAGGCCTGGATGCCCGCAGAGGGTGACTGCTGCAGGTGGGGACTGCTGTGTGCACACAGACTGCACCTATTCCTCTTGTCCTAGGCATACGCCCTACTGGGACTACCGCAGACATCCCTGCAGAGACCACCTGCCTGTCGTGCCCCGTCACCACCTTTGATGCCTCCTGCAGTGGAGACGCTATTCTCCTCCCCATTTCTGACTTGCTTTCACTCATCATAAGGCAGCGGCAGTAGGGAGCCCTGTCTGGGGGGCAGATGGTGATGAAGGAGTGACACTGGAACTGCAAAAGCCCAGGCTTCCAGGCTCGCCCTGCCCACAGCACCTGCTGCAAAGCTGGGAAACCTGGGGTCCAGGGGTAGGGAATCAGGTACTGTGGGTGAGGAGTCAGAGGTGGAGACTGCTGAGAAGACAGTGTTTTGCCCATCTGGACGTCCTGGGTGGGCTGCAGACCGAGAGTAACAGGGGAAGGCCATCTGCAGGCAGTGCACTCCTGCACAGAGAGGGAGCCAGGAAGCCGCACAGGCACAGACAGATGAGGCATAGGCTTGGACGCTGGGGGCAAGGATGACAGGTGGGTAGGGCCAGGCTTAGTGTGACATCCACCTAAGGAGGGAGGGTCCAGCACATCTGCCCAGAATGAATACCCTCAGAGGCCATTTAGACAGCAGATGGGGAATTTTAGCTTGGATTTATGGATAAACACAAATAAATACATAGATTATGGATAAATACAAAGAATGCCAAGGAGCAAAAAAGTACACTATAATGACTTTTGCGGGAAATAAAAAGTAGCTCAGCTCTGAGCAGCATTTACAAGATTATCCACATGTAAACAGGGAGTTCTGATCTAGCCAAATCACACGGGGTCCATATTGGGAGGGCAGGAGACAGATCAGTCCCTGGCAGCTCCAGCATGGCAGGTTCCCTGGCTGTTCCTACCTTGTCATCGTCCTCGCAGGTCATGACATTGGAGAAGGGGATCTCGGCCTTGAACATCTTTCGGCAGTGCATGAGCTGCACCAGCAGGTAGCAGACAGTCTTGAACTTCATCCTCTTGGCCGGTTTTATATCTGAGAGAATCAGGCCTGGAAATATCTGTTCAAACACACAAGGGGCAAGGAGAAATGCTGTGAATGAGACACATTCTGCCTCTCGGGCTGGGAATGCAATCCTGACAGCTACAGCCACCCCAGGGCACTGGGATTCATTTGCTCGGTGCCTACTTCATGCCAGGCATAGGGGAACGTGCCAAGAATAGAGCAGCAAACAAAACCACAACCCACGTCCAAAAGGTTCGATTCTCAAACCACACCAAAGGCCTCTAAAAGCCAATGTGATGCATGGAATCCTGAAGCAAAGTTGGGGGAGGCTAGAAGCCCTGGTCAGGAAAGACAACCAGGGCTTGAAATAAAGGTCTTTGCTACCTCATTCAGCTTCCAGTATATCCCCTTCTACGGACACGGAAATAAATTGCATGGGGAGGATGGGGAGGGCTGCGCAGTGCACCCAGCTGAGGCTCAGAACCTCAATTCCCTCACAGTCCTCATGTTCTGGGTGAAATTCCATCTGTAAAATCAGATGAACATCACCCACTCACCCCTGGGGGCCTTCTCAAGGTCAAATGAGGTGATAGGAAAGTGGGACCCCATGAATGCCCCACTGTCATTGCTCCTGCTGGCCAGCCTGGCTTCTGAGTGAGGCCAAAGTTTCTGCACCCCCACAGCAGCTCTGACCCCACCTCCTCTCCAGAAATGCGGTACTCCTTCCTTGGCCTCGCTGCCTACCTCTCAACTTCACTTTCTCTGGCCCCTAAAGGTAGGTACAAATCTCCACTCTTCAAAACAACAAAACCCCCTTCTTCTGAGCATTCTCACTCTTCCCCTCCCACTATTCAAGATTCTCTAAAGTGGGGCTGTATACTGTACCTACCTTGTCACCCCCTTTCACCCTCAAACTACAGGACTGGATGCTAGTGTCTCTGTCAATGTGACAGAGCCCAGGGGCCTGCATCTACTGGGGTGCACAATGACTAGCTCCCATAAATTGTTCCTTTAAAAAGAGCCAACACAGTAATGGCTCTGCACTCTCACCTGAGCCATTGACCCTCCCCTGAGCCTGAACCCCTCACCTGAGCCCTGAATCCCTCACCTGAGCCATGAACCCCTCACCTGAGCCCTG